TTCCTTCATGTAAGACTTGACATTTTTCCTTTCTGTATGCTTCTGTGATCTTTTGCTTTTGCTGAATGTTACAGCTGGTTTCAGCTGAGCATTAACTTAATTCATTAGCGTCCTGTTAAGTGTGATTAATGTTTGAAGGCATGCATTTGACAGGGCTGTTAACTTTTGAAAAGTGGTTTACAAATTATAGATCCCTTTTCATTTAAGGGAAGCAACAATGAGAAGAAGAAAGGAATAAATAAAATAGAAAAGTTCATATTGTCATCCTGTAGAACTTACACTTTTTCACGAACCTTTCCTTTCACCTGTAGGTGTGTGGTATATTAAAAATGTCCAGACCCCTATTGTAGTATGTATTTGTTTACTATCTGAATCCAGCTGAAATTTTCACAATAAAAATTATGTTAAGAGGGCTGGAGTTGTAGCTCAGTGGTAGAGCATTTGCCTTGCACATGTCAGGCACTGGGTTTGATCCTCAGCACCACATAAAAATAAATAAATAAAATAAAGATACTGTGTTCATCTACAACTAAAATATTTTTTAAAATTATGTTAAGATATGAAATATATCGAAAAGCAATTCTATTTAACTTGAGTTTACTGTTTGAAATAAAAGTTTTCTTTGTTGCGTCTGTGGTTTTATTAAAAGTACTAAGAATATGGCTAATTTTGAAGCACAAGATTGGAACAAATTATGAAGCCACTTGTTTAAAACCCTTTGCTTATTAGATGGAATGCTGGGTGTAGGCTGGTGTGGCTTGTAGTTGAGATCTAGCCTGAAAGAAATGTTTTCACCCTCAACAAATATCATCTTTGTTCAGATATCTACAGTACATGTAACCACAGTGAGGTCTTTTTTCACTCTTGGAACAAGACAGACTGCATCTTAAACTTTGTTCTGCGTGTTTTGCACGTAGTTTAAAGTGAGATCCTTCCTCTCATTTTTTGTTTTAGTTAGTTGCAGCATGTGTAAGGTACCACCTAGCACCCTTGGTGTGTTTGAGAACTGTAACATAATAATGAAAGCTTAGAATAGATAAGTTACTCTATGAGGACTGAAGCAGCTGTCAATTCCCAAGGACAGACTGATTATCCAACAAAGGGTAAAGTATTTTTAAAACTGATTATGTTTCATATATATAAAACACTCATCTGTCAAAGTGTACACTAAGAAAACTGTCTGCCACCAATTTTGTTTTGTTGGATTGAATTTGAAACTTTTTAAATTTAGTAACTTTGTATGAATTTGGAATTAATTTAGTGACATTAAACAGGAATTTAGATATAACACCTATTTTTAAAGAATGTAATTCAGGGAGATACTTGATTCTTAAAAGGCTTTTTTTGGTAGGGGTTTTCAATGGAAATAGAGGTCTCAAAAATCTCAATAGTTGTCAGTTTTTAAAATGCTTCTTAAGATAGTATAGTTGTGATTTTCTTCTATCAATTTGTGCCCAGAGATATTTTCCTGTATAACAGGAGTGTTAAACCAACAACTTGGTGAAGTAAGAGAGTAATATTTAAGAGTAAGAGAGTGGGGGCTGGGGATGTGGCTCAAGTGGTAGTGCGGGGGCGCTGGGTTCGATCCTCAGCACCACATAAAATGTTGTGTCCACCGAAAACTAAAAAATAAATATTAAAAAATTCTCTCTCTCTCTCTCTCTCTCTCAAAAAAAAAAAGTACTTTTAATGATAGAAACTGTTTTTTAAACTATATTTAGTCTAACAACCATATTGCACAAAATTTTGATTACTATAATGTTTTGGTAACAAAAACTATTTAATTTCAAAGCAAATTTTTCAAAATAAACTTGTTAATTATGAATTTATCATGCAGGAGGAATATAAGATATGATGTAAGTTAATGGCATAATGCCCTGATTAAATTTTTATTTGATAATGGCATGTGATGTAAGTACCAACGAACACAGCTGTCATTGTTTAGTAGGTGCCTGGAACTTTGTGCATACTTGCACAGAGACACAAGATAGCCATTGGTGTCTCTGTGGCCAATGTTTTGGTTTAAGTTCTCTGTATTGTTTAATAGAATTTCTAAATAAGCAATCAGAATGAAACCAAAGGGAATATTCTAGTACAATTCTTAATAAACTTTTCAGCTACAGACCTGACCATCACAACATTATTGAACTATGGTTAACCCTGCATAAGGACACTACTTCTTATTCTGCCTCCCAGTGTAGATTATTAAACAATGTCTCTAGCTTCACTATTGGGAAGGATTGACATTCTGTTTAGTTTCCTAAAAAGAAGCAGATTTGGCTGTATTTTTTAAAATTTGGTTTTGTTTTAAATCCACTCTCTTTGTAGCACACATTCATTAATATTACAAAAATGTCTTCCCACTGGTAAATGTAAGGATAAAAAATTTCTAAGGAGATTTAAAAATTTGGAACTTACTTACCTGACTACAGTCAACTGTTCTGGACCTGTTAAAGTATATGATCTTTCACTCAGAAAGTCAGGATGCAGTTTCATCCAATTCCAGTATGGTCTCTATTACATGATTAGGTTTTCTTTTCTGGAACTCTCTAGCCTGGTGATAATCCTGTGAATACTTGTATTTTGCAATTTGCCATAATAAAGTCTTTTTGGGACACTTAGCATTTCCCCCAACTCCATACCATTTCCAGTTCCTGCTTTTATACTTGTAAACTTCTCATTGTTGTGTTGGAAATGTAGTTGAGACTCGTAGGAATAGAAGCAGGAATAAAGGACTGGCATAAAACACATTCCAAGAAAACATTCATCTATTGAATTTGGCCTTATCACCAAAGAAATCCATATTTAGTGGCTCTGATAGTTGACACAGAGTTTAATAAATAGTCACATTCCCTAGTTTGAATTAAATTTTTATTCATTTGTTTTCCCCACCTTTGAAGGCTTAGATTTATTTATTAGTTATGTTGATTATTTCCAACTTTTGTTTGCATTAGTCCATTGTAAAAATTTAACCAGTCTTTAGTAGTAACATAAGTAGTAACATAAACATACCACCCAAAAAAACTTTAAAAAATTACCAGTTCTCATTTTTGCCATTTTTACTATTATAAACATCCTTGTGTTTATTTGATTATCTCGTTGGCATGAATTCCTAGAGGTGAAATATTGGGTAAAGGATATGATTGCTTGTAAGATTTCTGAGACTTATTATTGAATTACCTTCCAAAAAGGTTTCATGAAGAAACTGCACATTCTCCCACACTCTTGGTCAGCATTGAGTAATATCAATGCAGTGTTTGGTTAGTCTGAGATAGAGGCAATGTGATATTTTAAAACATACTTCTTCAGTTACTAATGAGGTGTATTTTTCCCATATCTTGTTATTTTAAATTTAGATTTTATTTTTATCAGAGCTTTACTTAGCTTAGAGATCTGTCAGTCTTTTTTAAGACTTTTTTTTTTTTTTTTTTTTGGAAACAGCTGACTCCCATACTCCTCAATGCCCACTGCATAGGAGTAACCACTCTCCACCACTGTGGCTCATCATGCTGTTTCCTTTCATGCTCTAGGTAACACGCTGACCTGCCACTTCCTGCTCTTCAGTTTTGGTATTATCTATTGGCTTCCTGCTTTGGAGAATAAGGGTTTGGTCCTCTACCCAGCACCTTCCTCTGGCCACACATATCCATCCCTTCAACTCTCAGGGACTTGATTCCCTTTACTCAACTCCCTTGTTTTTAACCCCACCCTTTCCTCTCTTTAGGACCTAAGTTTTCTGGTGCTTTGAGGGAGGGAGTTTCATTTTAGTGTGGTTGTTATTTTAATAGGCTTTTAGGAGAAATGGATATAAAGGTGTGTTCCATCTGCCATATTTAACTGGAAATCCTTTTAGTGTTTTTAGTTATCATTTTTATAAAGTAGTGGTTGAAGTTGTGGGCTATGGAGTCAAGACTGTCTAGATTTGAACCCTAGCTTTACTTTTTCCTACCTTTGTGACCTTGAAAAGTTGCTTGAAATCTTCAAACCTCATTTAACCTTGGTGTGGGATTACTAGTGATACCTGCCTTAGTGTATTCTGAGAATTATGTGTGATAGGCATGGTAAAGTACTCAGTGCAGTGTCTTCTGCCTGGCAGTGTCTTTCTAGCAGACACTTGGTGAGAACACAGACATAGTTGTTGCTGCTGAAAATTACTCTTGTGAATTTTTAGCTCTTGACCTTCACCCAGTTTTCTTTTGTAATGCTGTCTTTGCTGCTTAATTGGAAATGCCATTTATACAATCTGTCTGTGATCTTTTATTTTCATTTATGATACTTGGGATACATAATCATATCCATACTTTTTCACGCTATGATCTCTGCTTTTGTTGTCAGATTTGTGCCTTTGAAAAACACCCAGTGTTAATAAGGAAGAAGGCTGAGGGTGTGCATGTGTATACGTGCATGTTGTGAGCTGAGGCCTGGTGATCAGCTAGGAGGTTGTTACTGTAGTTGAGGCAACTAACTAATCTAGGGGCCTGAAAAGCTAAATAAAGATGTGATTATCGTCATCATGTGATATAAAGTTTTTAGTAACTCCTGAAATATATCTTACACTAGTTTATTTTGTGGAGAAATCACCTTACTTTTAAAAGGCCTTTTGGAATAGTCTTCTCCTATTCTGCCACTTTTTAACACCTTTTTTGAATCGTCTCAGTTTCTGCCCTAGTGGATTTCATCTGAAGACAAAACTTTCTATTTCAGTTTTACTTCCATGAAATTTTAGATCTAAAACCAATTCTTGAAGGCTTAGATTTATTTGTCCTGATGTTTATGCTGTTAATAAATTTTCTTTCTTTTGAATATCATTCATAATATTGAAAAGGTAGATATGTTGATATTCTAAAGTTGTATTATAAATACTTAATTTTTATAAGTTTATTTGATACTTCATTTAAGGCAGTTTTAGTTTTTGTTTGATTTTTGTTTTGATTTTGTTTCATAATTAACTAACTTTGTGATCCTTAAAATAACACTTCATTTAAATTCGATCTCTGCAGATTCGGAGCAGGATGTAGCACTGAAACTTGCCCAGGAACGAGCTGAAATAGTTGCTAAATATGACCGAGTAAGTATCCATATTTACTCTATGAGTAAGTTTTATTAGAAAAATCACATAAATAGAAAGGGATTTGCTTGTGGAAAGCTTAAATTACAGAGGGATTTTGTTTACTTCATGAGAACCTGGAGCTTATCTTTTTTTTCCTCTGAATTCATCTCCAAATTCTCTCTCCCTCCTTTTTGCCACTCTATTCTCTTGATGTCCTTAAACACAAAGCTTGGTCCTGCCTCAGGGCCTTTGCACTGGTTATTTCCCCTGCCTGGAATACTTATATCCTCGGTATTCTTAAGCCTCTTTGTCTCCTTTCTTTCGGGTCTTTACTCAGAGAGTTTCTTCTTATTGAGCTCTTCTCTTACCTCCCTTTTTATTCCCTCCCCTTTCTATCCCTTGGTACACTGTATCCCCTTTATTTTTCACCATAATACTTATTACATCACCATTCTATATATTTTACTTTGTTTTTTGTTCTCTCTCCTAGAACGTAAATTCTCAGGGGAAGATTTTTGTTATTGTTGTTTGATTTGCTCTTGTACTCTAAATACCCAGAAAAGTTCCCGACTCATTCTTGGTACTCAATAAGTACTTGAGTAATTGAGTAAATAGGGTTAATTACCCATTGTATTCATAATTTATGTGTGCTGTTGTAAATTTACAGTAGACCTTAGATTTTGTATTTATACATTCATAGGTAATTTTCATTAGTATTTTGTCTTTGCATTAGAATAGAATCTGATTTTTATTTACTTATTTTTTATTCGTTCTTTTTAGATACACATGTACAGTGTATTTTGACATGTTATACATACATAGAGCTTGACTTACTCTACTTAGGAGACCATTCATGTGGTTGTCATGGTGTGGCATTACCTGGCTGTGTATTCACATATGAACACAGGAAAGTTATGTCCAGTGGAATCTGATTTTTGATGTCCTAGAAAATCACAATTGTTGATGATTTTCACTTCTTATTTATTACCCTTATGAGGTTTATGAATTGTAGTATTATTTATAAATGTCATACTTAATACTTGCATTGCTTGCATGTAATTGTATAGCTTTTATTTTTTATTATTTGTGAGCATAATAAGCCATCTGCACCATGCCCTACTTCCAGGGAGGCATATAGGCAGTATTCAGCTTAACAGTTTCCAGAATTTGTGGGGTTTTGGGGATCTGAAGTTGGGGTGAGGTACTGGAGATGGAACAGAGGTCCCTGCACATTGCTAGGCAAGGTGCTCTGCCACCCAGCTACACCCCAGCCTCTCAGAGTTCATTTTTAAGTTGGTTGTTTGGAACACAGGTTCCCATTATTGTGATTAGGTTTTAGCGTGGTCTGTGAAAAACCTAGTTAACCTTTTTAACTGCTTAGCTAATGTGAAACTCATAAACAGCACTCTCATTCATTCACACTTCCATGCTCCCTGCACCCCCCCCTCCCCACACACACACACATAGTTAACACAAGACTGGGGATTCTTCCATGTTGTAACACAGAAATGAGTTTCATCAGTCCTTGCCCACAAGATGCTCATAGTCTACTCAAAGAATATGAGCAAACATTATAAATCATTTTCAGATGGAGGTGTCCACAAGACAGTTGCATGTTTGAATCTAAAGTTTGAGGGATTGTTGTGGATAGTCATATGTGGGATTCCTACACTAATAAATATTAATTAACAGCCTAAAAGTAAATGGGCAGTGGGCTGAGGACAGAACTCTGGGCATATCAGTAGTTAAGTCATTCATGAAAAACCATCAGAGGAGGAGTTGGAGAGGCCTGTGGAGAACCTCCAGGGCATAGTGTCATGGAAGAGGCGGGGAGGGAGCGAGTCACACTGACCAATTTGCCCCACATTTCATTAGGTAAGGACTGAAGAGTGTCCACTGGGTCTCACAATTGGAAGAGCATTTTTGACTGTGACAAGAGTCATTTCAAAGCTAATGTAGTTGTGAAGCAAAGCAGTAGAGAGACAAAGTACATAACCTGTTCTTTTGACAAATTTGGATGAAGACAAGAAAATGAGTTTTCTAAGACATATTTACTATAAAACTTGTAAAGTTTGGCAGTTCCTCTTGGGTGGCTTTCTTAGCCTCTTTGCTGCTCCAGCTTCATCAGCTTCCCTCAGGAGCTCAGTCTTATCAGGCTCAGCTGCTTGTTGGCTGCTATGACACACAGTGTCTTCATAGCTTATAATTAGGACTAGCATATTGCTCCAAAGAGTTAGGTTTAAAAAAATGTTCTTGATTTTGGATCTTTCTAAAAAAAATTATTCAGTTTTATAAATTCCTTTGTCCATTGTTTTAGGGACGAGAAGGTGCAGATATTGAACCTTGGGAAGATGCTGATTACCTTGTTTACAAAGTCACGGATAGATTTGGCTTTTTACAGTAAGTCACATGGATTGAAAGCTAATATTTTATATTTTAATGTTTCTATGGTCACCTGTTTTTTTTATTTTTAATAGAATTTCTGTGAATATGATTCCAGCAATAGTCTGACAATATACTTTTTTGATACTAAATTCCTGGAATGTTAACCTTTTGATTTAAATTGAACTATATAGTTAAGAATAGAGTTTAATATTTTGGGGGTTTTGGTAAGAATATTAAATGCAATAAAAGAGTTGTATTAATAATTTATCAGAATTAAACACACATGGATAACAGTTATATTTCTAGAATAATTACAAAATATTTAATTTCATATAAATGCATTTTAAAAATAATTGGCAATTAGAACATTAGGGTTATGTAGCCTAAAAATGAGCAATGAAAAGAAACGGCATTCATCTTCCCTACTATAAATGTATTCATGATATTGCTTCTCAAAATTAATCCCATTTATCGTGAGTATATTATATAAAGAAAGAGTTAAGAGAAAGCTAGACCACTACAATAAAACAGTGAAAGTGAATTTTGATTCTTAAAAAACATCCCGCAAGATGATGTGAATCCGCTTGTTATGATTCTGGCATTGTTGAGTCAGCTTCCCATAGGTTCATCTCTATACATTTGTTACATACAGTTTAAGGATTAACTGACTTTTCTTTCAAATTTACTCTTCCAGTTTTGTTTATCGTACATAGGGAAAAGCTAGGAATATCTCTGTGTGTTTTTTGTGGCTTTGCTGGTCCCTGGTCAATAAACTATAAACCATTTTATCTGAAAACAAGAATCAGTAATTGCTTTATATACCTTAAGAGTATTGAGCCTTTGAAGAAATAAAATGTAAGAATGCTTTATTAAGTTCTGGAAAAATACTAGACATTACAATCTGAAACTTTTTCCCGAGTTATTATAATCAGAAGACTTTGAATTTCACTGGACTAGCAGAGCAGTATTTAATACAGTTCTTAACCTCACCTCTCTTTAAAATCAAACTTGACCACAAATGTTACAGGGAATGATTACACATTTTTATGGGTCAGTATGTAGTTCCGGCATGTAAATGAAGTTTTGAAGTCCTAATTTGAGCATTAAGACTGTTAAAGTCTCTAGGTCTCAGATTTATGTGCAAATAAGAATTAGGTGGAAAAATTAAACAAATAAAAAAACATTTGGGGTTCTAAACTAGATTTTGATTCAGAAAGTAGGATATAGCTTAATTGTTTTTGACTTTCCTAGGTATTTCTGATGGGACTGAACCACTGTAATAATGTTTTCATCATAAAATGGTCTAATATAGTGTGAAGTCTATAAGAAAAATTTGTGCATTCCAAAGTGGTCTCTTAATTACTAAATTTTCTTCTTTTTGCTGGAAACAACATGAATTAGGTCTTAGAAACAATTAATTTAAATTTGTTTTTCACTCTGTGCTGAGGTTCATTTGGCTTCTAGTTAGAAAAAAGTCAATAACTTAGGTTAGTAATGCTAGTTAATATTCATGAATACTTAATGTGTTCTAAGTCCTTACATGAATTAACTTACTTATTCCTCTCAAAAAGTCTTCAAGGTAGGTGCTTTTTAAAATCTTCCTGGTTTTAGATAGTGAAACTGAAACAGGAAGAGGTCAAATAACTTGCCCAAGTCATAGTGACAGTAAATGTCAGGTTTCGGGGGTAGATCTGGGCAGTCTCACCAAAGAGCATGTGTTATGCACTACTGTGGTATAATACCTGCTACAACCTTCTTGTATTTTTAATAAGAGAAATATAGAATAAGTTCTATGAAATGCCTAGAAAAAAAATTGAAAGGGTGGATGATGGGTGAGAGGAAGAATTTCTAATGAGGATACTGTTAGAAATGATCATGTCTGTCAAGATAGATGCTAAGATAGCCAAGTTCAACACTTATTAGAAGATGAACCAGTTGCTGATTGTCACATTGTCATACTAATTTTTTTCCCTAATTTATTCCATGAAGCAGCCTGAAAGCAGGTAGTACAGATGAAAATAATGAAGCATAGAAATGGATTTGAGTGTAATGTTAGGCTTTATTAAATTTCACCAAAGCCATTGATTTTTGTCACAATGCTTTATTTTAGTAAAACACGTTCTTCAGAGATTGCTGCTGGTGGCTTTGGTTGCATGTCCCTGTAGACTGGAGTTTTTTTGCACTGTTGAATAAGTCACTTGATGTGAGCATTTAGATATTACTCCCTGTCACACCTTGATTGAAAGAGCTTTTCTTTCTGTTATTTGTAATTTTTGATTGGTTCTGCAATGAAATTGGGTTTTAAGTTCAACGTCAATACAATAAAATGACAAAAAAATTGTAGAAATTGTTGTCTTCTCTGAAGGCAGCTGAATTCAAATATAATTATAGTTTTGGAAACATAAATTACTTGTTATGATATGTGAAGGAGGAGCATTGATTAACAGATATAGTATACTTTGGTTTTACAGTGGATTTCACAATAAATATTAAAGCTGCTGCCAAACCGGCCTGGCTCTATGTTGGAACAACAACATTTTTGTTTAGTTTCCGGCAGTAGGGTGTCATCTCTAGTCTGTGCCTGTGATGTACAGCTGGTGGATGGAGAAATCGAGCTTATTGAAGAAGTTGGAAAACTTTAAACTTGCTAATCAAAAATAGCACCGTTAGTCCGCTCAACAAAGAATGTCTGGTATTTGGATAATGATAAATAATTCTTTTGGGTCATAAGTTATTAATAGATGAATTAAAAGGAAATTATACCAAAAATAGGAACGATAAATTAATAGCAAGCATCAGATGTTCAGTTAATTATCAAATTTGTATATTTATGAAATTTAGCAGATGGACTGTAGTTTACCAGGACTGAATAAACATGAGAACCAAAATAAAGGTGTTTTTATTTTTAAAGATTATCTGTTTTGCTTACAAGGGCTTGAGAACTCTTTCTACTGATCCTATACATTCTGACTAGCTAGGTAAAACTTATTTCAAAACCAAAAATTAAATTTAGGTAATGTATTAAGCTTATTGATTTTAACAAATTAAGTTTCAAATTTCCAAATGAACGTTTATCTCAGTGACAGAAGTATTCTGTCTGAACTGTTGAGAAATCATAGGCACACATACTCTAATTAGTAATACATTTCAAGTTTAATAATGGATGAAAACTATATCCAGTTAAATTCTCTCTCTTTCCCTTGATGACTATGTCATTGTTTTTAGTTACTGTGTTTCCATGAGGTATAGCTACTTGTCAACTTGTTATTTTACTTAAAAAACAACTTTTAGGTGTCCTTAAGCCCTTATTCCCTAAAACAGGGGTTGCCAAACATTTTCTGTAAAGAGTCAGATACTAAATGTTTTTGGCTCTGTGGGGGCCATATGGTCTTTGTCACAACTATTCTATCTATTACTGTAGTATGAAAACAAACATAGACAACGCCCAAATCAATGAGCATAGCAGTGTTCCATTAAAACTTTATTTACAAAACTAGCAATAAGCCAGATTTGACCCATGGGCTGTAGTTTGCTGATGTAAAGAAATACTTTGTATTCACCCTGATGTGGTCCTTCCTCTCTTCTGCATGAAGGATATTTGTGTGGCAAGGTAAAGATGTATCCACGCACATAGGGTACGCATTCATCTCTCTGTCCACACAGTTGTTCACCAACATTGACCTCAGCATGCCGGGTGTCTTCTGGACATGGCACAGAGGTCTTGATGAGGCAAGGAAGCTCCTTGGAAGACTGTACACAATAGCATCTGCCAACACAGAGGTAGGAGTGCAAGGTTGTGTGGAGAGCAGTGTGTGTGCACATAGCAGATTCCTTATGAAGAGTTTTAGAGATAAGAAATAATGCAAAAAACTCCATAGGGAAACTGAACTAACATTCTTGCTGTCTCATCCATCTTGAAGGCTTTTAATTTTAAACCTCAAAAAGTTTCTTTTCTTCTTGAGAATTGCTTTCTCATCCTCCATCCCTTTTCTTCCTGTGTTCTTGTGCTAGCTAAAGAACTCCATTTGCATCCACTGGATTAGAAAGTGCTGAGCATTGCTATGTTAGGCTAAATGACTAAGTGAAAATGTTGGTTTTCTTATCTGTGAAGTGAGGGATTTGTACTCTTTAAGATCTCTTTTGGCTATTACATTTTTTCTTGTCAGTTCCATTGCTGTGGCTTAAGGGTTCATCTAAGGACTTTGCAAAGTAGCCAGAGTGCCTTTGGAATCACTGAACTTATTAATACTGATCCGTCATGCTCCTCAAAGTGGTACGGTTTAGTTTAAGGGAAAACTATGTACATGTTGTTGCTGAAACATCAGTACTACTTTGAAAGCCACTGAAAGCACATTACTTAGTTTACGGATAGTACATTGTTTCTATATTACTGACAGTTAATGTAAAGGTCTTAGACTATTTTATATTAGAATTCTAGTATTATACAAGTTCTATGCCAAAGAAATTAATTTGATTGGTTTCATATTTTTTTCTTTGTCTTTTTAAAAATAATTTTAAATTTTAATTTGTTATATATGACAACAGAATGCATTACAATTCAAATTACACATATAGATGTAAATGGAATTCCTTTTCTACTTCTTCTTCTTATTTTTTTAAAATACATGACAACAGAGTGTATTTTTTTAAAATCATCTCTTAAAGTTTTAACAGTGAATTGCTTTCTTTATTGTATAGAATGAAAGTAGAAGTTTTCTTTTTCATTCACAAATCCCCTAGAAGCTTTTTTTCTTTATGATAGTTTTTATTCGTTTTTTTTTTTTATTTTTGTGGTACTGGCCTTTGAACCCAGGTCCTTGTGCATGCTAGGCAAGCCCTCTACCACTAAGCTACATCCTCATCACTATGCTAATTTTTGAAACAGTCAATTATTATAGACCTTAGTTGGAGTCTAGAGTAAAGGCTGATAGACCAATTTGTGTGCCAAATCAAGCTCACTACCTGTTTTTATAAAATTTTTTGTGGGAACAGTGCCACCCTCAGTCAACATGTTATCTATGGCTGCTTTTGCACTATTGTCTCAAGAGTTGAATAGTTGTGAAAAAGATTGTATGGTCCACAAAGCCAAATATATTTACTATTTAAGTATTTACTTTGACAGAAGAAGTTTGCCGACTCCTGGTTCTAGAGCAGCTTCATCCAGTAGAACTTTCTGCAGTGATGGAAATGTTCAGTATGGCAGCCTCTAGCTACATGGTTAATGAGACTGAATAATGCTGAATTTTATTGAATTTTAATTTACACTTAAATAGCTACACGTAGCTACTGTATTGGACAGGGCAGTTCTAGAAATTGGAAGATAAGGACATTGTGGTTACAGAATAGCAGTTGTTTTCTCTTGAATTCAGTGGAATGGACGCTTACATAACTCTCGTGGTGGCAAAAAATATGGTACATCATTTGTACTTAAATAATTTTTAAAAGTCTGCTCTGATTTCAACTATTTCACATGTTATTCTCTGCAGTGAGGAGGAGCTCCCATTTCATAATGCAGCTGTGGAACGGGTAAGTCCATTTATTTGTAGTTACTAATGAATTGCCTTTATTGAATGAACCACCTTGGTTATTTTGAGTGCCATATTATATGGTGCAATCATTGTTAAAATTTAACACTAATTATGTCATGCTAAGAAGAGAATTAAATTAATGGTGAAATAATTTTAGAAGGGTCTGTGAGATTCTGAAACATACTTGAAAATAAGGAAAGATAGCTGTTACTGGAAATGACTTGAATTCTAGTATGGGAGGCTGCAGTCTCACCTAGGCCTTGCCTTAGTCTGTGAAACCAGCCTCTCTGGGGAAGGACCCTGGGCAGACAACTTTTAAATAGCTTCACAGTGCTTCTCAAGACCAGTAGCTCTTTGGAAAACAACTGTTTCAGGAGATCTAATAAATTTCCTATAAATAACAGCAAAAACCATTTTATATGTTCAAGTAAGTATCTTCACACTTTTAGGACTTAGGCAAGTGTTACATTGTAAACATGTCAGCCTTTTCTTCTCCCTGCCCCGCCCCCCCCCCTTCTTTTTTAAACCTTTCCTCCATCTACTTAGCAAGGAGCTGGTTTTCTTCATGAGTGTGAGTGAGAAGTAGGAACTGAATGTTGTAAGAGTGCTCAGAGTCTCCTTTCTCCTTCGCCATTGTTTTCTGTTCTCAAAAATGAATTGTAGAATGAAAGTGAAGGTGTCATTTACGATTGTTGTCTGTGTATATCCAATGAGGGGAAAGGACTGCTGAGACTGGTATTGGAATTTGAAAACATTTTAGAAAATCTTCCTAATACCAACATTTTGTGAAAATCAAAACTATAGCAAAAGCTTAAGATATAGGCAAAACTGCTATGTACTTGTGTAGAGAGCCCTACAGACACTTCCTGCAGTTGAAAGACTCTCTGGTTCTCTCTCAGTATCATAACCTAGATGTTTTGGCAAAGGGACTTCTTTCTTTTAATAGCTGCATTATTGAGTAGCAATTATGTGTCTTGCACTAGACTAGCTACTGCATAGAATTCTAAGATCAAATAAAACAGTTTCTGCCTTTGGGAAACTCACTGTGTCCTTTGACTAGAAGAAGGTGGGAGAATAAGCCACAATGGTGGTTTTCTAGACAATAGTGTTAGTGAAAGGAAATGGTATGCTGGTGGTGGAGAAGGCAGATGTCACTGAGGAGTACATGAAAAGTGACAATAATGGTGATTGCTTTGTAAATTCTGCCTATGGTGAGCATTCCACCAGTCCACTTTAAATGGTAGCATAAGGATTTGTCCCCACCCTCTGACTATCACCTCCTTGTTTAGTGCTTTGACTTAACTAATCCTCTGACCCACTGATACCACCAGGGTATCCTATTTTCATGTCTTTATTCCTATCTTCTCTCCTAACTGGAGTTCTGTTTTAGCTATTACAGTTGGTTTCACTTAAGGTTTTTCAGTGACAGTGGCACAAAAGTGACACTCCTCAGTAGGAACATTACTTCAGTTTTTGAATTTTGATCTTTTCCCAGGTTGACAGTATTTGGTTCAGTACCTAAATCACCTGTTAACAAGTTTCCCATCACAGTAAATAAAATCTACTTTTCTAGTTGTTCATTCTAAATCTTCTAAATTGTCTTTGACTTTCTTTCAAATCCCTCATCTCATCTGTCAACAAATACTATGAGTTTCACTTTCAAAATGTGTTCAGAATCTGGTGATTTCTCACTCTCTTTACCTCTGCTATCTGGTCCACTGTAATCTGTCTTCCTATCTTCCCATCTCTGCCATGGCCCCTTCCTCCCACGTGTTCTCTGAAACAACTAGAACCAGGTTCTGTTAAAATGAATGAGATCATGTTACTTTCTGATCAGAACCTTATGGTGGCTCCCCATCTCATCCACATTAAAAGCAAAGTCCTTCAAATGACCTTCAAAGCCCTGAATGATCTAGCTTCTGTTAGTTCTCTGAGTCACCTACTTTTGCTCAAGTGCTGGCTTCTTAGTATCTCTTGAACATGGTGGCCACATTCCCTCTTTCAGGCCTTTTCCACTGGCTGCTTCCTCTTGGAATGTTTTCCCCTCACCAATAGCTGCAAGACTCATTTCCTTCAAGTGTTTACTAAATGTCAACATCAAAATAAGACTGCCCTGGCTATCATCTGAAATTGAAAACTGTCTCTCCTCTAGTGTTAATTATCCTCCTTTGTTTTTCTCTTTAGCACTTAATACTATTTTGCAAATTATACAATTTGCTTGTTGTTTTATTTTGTCTGTGTTTCCCTGTAGGATGTAATCTATATGAGGCTTCTTCTGCCTTCTTTCCTTCCTCTTCTTCCTCCTCTTCCCTCTTCTTCCTTCTCTTTCTCTTCTTCTTCTACTTCTTCCTCATCCTTCTGCCTCCTCCTCCCTTTTTAAAAAATCTGCTTTGATCATTGCTATATCCCTATAACTTAGAACAGTGCTTAGCATATCACATCTGCTCAATAAGTGTGGACTGAGTAAATGGATGTAATGACTTCTTTATAACCCTAAAAGTACTTACTGATTTGAAGACTGGCAGAGATGATCCTTTCAGGTGTTTTAAAAATGTGCTTTATTTGAGAAATTAAGGAGAGAAATATTGGATGGTATTTTTTTTAAACAAAAAATATCCACTTTTGACAAAATAAAAATCCAGTAACCCATTATTGATCTCTTCCTCTCCCACCTTTTAAGAAATAATTTCCTGGTCCAGAACATCTCAGAGTCTTCAAATCAGTGATTTAGATGATTAAAGAAATGGGACAGTGAAGAAAAAAATATAAGACAGAGCCAGTAGAGGATGCATGCTTGAAAGAAGCTGTTAAATTTGTATTTTTAAAAAATTTCAATTTTTCTTAAAGACCTTACAACAGATGACCCCCTATCCAGTGCTATTAGGCTTATAATTAATTGGTTGTTTCTAATGAATTTAATATAATGAGTCACTCATCAGTACAAAGTGATTATGCATACCTTAATAATTTATTTTAAAATAAGATATAATTTTATCCTTATTTGTCAAATTTTTATTGGGGCAGGGCTTTGAGGCTATTAATTGAGGTTCTAGAAGGCCTTTCATATATCAACCACACTTAAACTGCATGACCTCCTACTTGTATAGTTTTTGGCTTCTTTAAAGTGGAATGAATACTTAGACTCATGCAAAGCAGTCTAAGGCTAGAAACTTTTTAGATTGTCAGATTTTCCTCCAGTTTTTCTGTTTTAAATTCATGTATTGCACAGCCAGTGCCTAGACCTAGCTGCCATGCTCTCCACTTCTAGGAAACTAATAAAAATTTTCCGTTTACTTTTTAATTGAATACAGTCAGTGAAGAAAATAGCTTTGCTGATGGCTCTAGTTTTTACAAAGCATACCCTTGAAGCATATATATACTTCCTGCCATTTGGGAATACTGACATACTGGTGTGTGATCAAGTGATCATGGCTTCACTTCTAGATTTGCAGATGTATTATTTTACATGAGGTAGCTCTCCATTTAGAATTGGGATAGTAATCCTTCCTCATAAGAGGATTAATGCTGGTATTTTCAAAGTGTTTTGGGTCCCCCCAAACAGGCAATTAAACAAATAAACAAATACACTTATTATATTTAATCTGCAGAGAACAATATTAATAATGGATTATATTATTTCTTTGAGCTTATTAATGTTTTTAATAAGGAGAGTTTTTATAAAACTATGAATTTTTATAGATTCAGCAATTTCTTCATATAGTGCAGTATTTTGCCTGATGAATACAATATTGGAGCCCATTATTTCTTAAAAAATGATACCTTAAGTTTACATGGTTTGAAATCTTTCTCAAAATACATGACTAATGGGCTTGCCATTTTCAAAGTGCTCTGTAAAAACAGACCCATTCCTTCTTGTACTTCTTGTGCTCTCCTGACCTCTGCTGGTGAGATCTAGGCATGGGTTATTCCTGTCAACTTCATCTTCATTCATTGTCTTAATTGTATTAGTTGAAAACAGATTAATGGTAAGAGATGGGGGAAAACAGTTTTTTTCTTTTTAACTATTCTCTCATTTCATGTATCTTTAAAAATGCAGCTACCAAGATGTGATTGAGTTTTTCTCCAAACACTAAGCAGTTCTTAGTGGATACTGATTGGATTTTTATAGACTCAGCAATTTCTTCATGTAGTGCAGTATTTAACTCAATTTTGGCAATTACTAGAATTAGCATAAACCTCACAGGTTAAGACTCAGTCTCAGAAGAATGTCTCTGATGTCAGGAACAAATCAAAAGCCCCAGGTTGTCACCTGTACTTCTGAATTATGGGCTGTAAGTAAGAGGTCCCCATGACCTAATCCTCTGGTTTGATCATTAGCTATAATTGCTCACAGAACTCATGAAAGCATGTTCACTTATTATTACCCATTTATTTATTTTAAAAGGAAACAACTCAATAGCCAAATGGAAAATGCATAGGGCAAGGTAGAGATACCCTTTTTGGGTATGCAACCCTCCATTAGTTCATTAGCCTGGAAGCTTTCCAAAGTTCAGGGATTTTTATGGATGTTTTATGATATAAGTATGATTGATTATTAATTCAATCACTAGCTCCTCTCCTGTTTTTAGGCAGTAGAATGTAGAATTTATCCAGGAGCCCACTAAGAGTCACATCATTAGAATAATAGATTCTCCTGTTACTCAAGGAATCCCAGGGACACTAGAAACAGAAACAGGGGAGTAGAAACCAAAAATGTATTTTCATTGTGTCACAATATCACACTAATATTCAAGTAGAATAAAAGCATCTGAACACTTGAATTTAAGCAAAGTTCTAAGGTGCCTTATTCTTAAAAAGAAGGCTGTTTAACAACCATCTATGGATTGTGTATGTTTAACTTTTGTCTAAGTTTTTCACTATATGAATAGTGGCAGGAGATTTAGGACATAAGCTGTTCAGATGGACCTATACAATTAAAAATATTGTCTGAGATAACTGAAGGATGAGAGGTAACAAAGATGATCATGAGTTCAGTTT